GGGGGTAAGCAGCAAGCCTGGAAAAGTGGGAAATGCATATAAAATTTTAGTCTGAAAAACTGAAGAACATAGACCAAGTGGAATACCTAGACTTTGTGAAAGAATAATATTAAAGTCGATGTTAAAGAAAAACATGAAAGGATGTAGACTGGAATATGTTTCAGGGCAGGGTCCAGTGCGGGCTGTAAATATTTTAATGAATCGTCGGACTTCATAAAAACTTGGGTATGCATTTCTTCACTGTCTGAATGACTATCAGCTTCTGAATAAATATATTAGATAAGAGTGAAGCCCTCCTCTGGGTTTAATCAGAGAGACTCACAGTCAAACAGACTGAAAAGAGGTGTTCCGCATCGGTATATGAATGTGCGCCTAGGAAACTGAAGTATGAAAAATGTAGTACAAAAGTGGTTGAATGCAAGATGTGTTATTATCATTCGTGTTCATGATTCTATAACAGGCTTTTAATGAACGACTCAAATTACTTTCAGCAGGGAATAGTTATTAGTAAATTTCATAAAGCTTCTAAATGTCATTCCATTTGACAAGCCAGAACAGGAAGTTGAAATGTGGCGTGGATTTCTTTTTGCGAGTGGAGCAGCAAATTCTGATGTAATCATGGATCCTAGCATACAAGGATCACAAGAAGGCCGTAGACTGAATATCGTAATTCCTCAATTTTAAGACGCACATTTTTAAAATTTAAAGTTTCTGAAATCGGGGTGCGTCTTACATTTTATGGTGTCTAAGAATCGATATAGCATATTTTTATATGCAAATGAAGACGTCTAAAAATCGTGTAAATACGGTAGCATTACAAGAACTTCTATCAATAAACACAAAGTTCAAGTACAAAGATGTATCAATGTAGATGTTTCACATTTTACTGGTTTTTTACCTACAGAAAACAACGTGACACAGTTCTGTCCTCGTCACTGAAACACTTCGTACAGAAGTTGGCGGTAGAACATTGTGTACTAAGAACTTGTCATGGAAGAGGAAGCATGCTGCAAACAAAAAGTTTGTGTTTTGAATCAATTTTGGATGTCAACTTAGATCAGCTTCGTAGAAATTGAATTTACATAGACAACCGAGTAATAAGTTAAATTATTTTATTGTTTTCCTTAAAAAATTAAATTTCTCGTTTTTTAATCAAACTTATTCTACTCCGTAGGTAATATTACAGTATTTTAGTTAAAAGTTCTTAGTTTAGGCTGCGTCTTACTTAAGTTAGTCGTTTGTACAGTGTAATGGCAGCAATGCATGAGAGGAAAACAAACGACAAAATAGCATTCGCAGAATTTATACAGGCTGTAGGATAACGCACTTTGTGGTAGTTTCGGAAAAGAAAAATGTGTAAAGCAATTTCTTAGTTTATTACTTTTTTGCAAAAGAGATATACAATATCGTAAATATTACGATTTCTTTATTCACAATGGAAGCTCACTTAAAATTCTTTCAGGTAGAACACAAACCAATTTCTCTATGAAAACACACACACACACACACACACACATTAGAACATATGTGTGGGCGTTGGTGGACGTCAGCTTTCTTTCCTCTGGCATAAATTACAAAATGTTCTGAATAAAATGGCTAACTCTTTAAAATACAATTTATTTAATGAAGTGAAATAATTTTTGTTATTAATTTTGACGCGCAAGGTACTGTCATTTTACTTTTGTGACTATCTCCTTAAACTGACTACGCCTAATTAACTCAATGAAGTAGAGTTCTTGTTGAGAAACTGGTATTTGCTCAATTTGTGAAATATTATGAGACCAAGAGGTTCATTATTACAACAAGTGGCCACTCTGCACCCTTCTTATCTGCTTGAGTCCAGCCCACATCCTCACATCACAGCTTTTCTCTAAGACCTATTTTAATATTATCCTTTCATCTACTTCTTGGTCTTCCAATGCGTCTGTCTGGTCTCTTCAGGTTTTCGACTAAAAATTTGTCATATTTCTGAACTACCTATGCATGCTACATGTCCCACCTCATTGATTTGATCACCCTAACAATAAGCTTATTTGGCATAGAATGTAACTTATAAATTTCTCATTAGTAATTTCCTCCATCTGCTTGTTTCTTTATCTTTCGTACATCCAAATGCTACAGATAACCTATACTACTTGAGTCAAACATAATTCTGTATTTTTGTGTTAAATATGGTACTTTATAATAGACTGTCACATATAATGGCGACCTTTAGCTGCATCAGTCGATGACGTTAGCTATCGATGAGTCGATGTGTTTCATTTAGTACAAATAGCATGAAACTCTCTGCTATAACAAAGCCGTTACTAGACCGTATACAGTGTATGGGACCCTATTTCATGCACGTAGAGTTCAGTACCTGTGGACTGTTTGTCCCTAAACAATACTGATTAATTGAATGTTCTGTAAAACTCCAGACTCGTGGAGAAAATGAATGAGAAAGGATTTACTCGTCTAGAAAATACTGCCATTCCAAGCTGCCTTGTGGAAATCTTTACCGCCCTGAGAAACTTAAATCTGACATGATTTAAAATTGTTTAAAATGTAAGAGCAGTGTATTGTATATAAATTATTTTATTAGTCTATATATACATATATATAATAAATATTAGTAAATGTTATATATTTCACAGTCGTTCTAATAAAAGATCTAATCATAACAGACGACTTGAACCTCTTAGGTGACGCCTGAAATTTGGGGCACTGTAAGAAGTGATAACTGAATTGTCAATACTTTCATTAAATACAGGGCTGTGACGTCATCACGCATCATCTCGTTTACTCACCACCGTGATGACGGATGGCAGTAAGTTTAGTAAATATCGAACAGATGGCTTAAGTAATGCATTTAAAAACACACCCCAGATGACAGAATTCTGAACATAATACTGTGACAGCATACTGTCTTCATAATTAGACACGCAGTTTTGGGACCAGCTGGAGGTCCTTACCTTTGTGCACTTTGCCAAAACATCCTTCGCCAATTTCTTGGAGGAAGCAGAGTGTGTCTCTAGGAAGCTGAGGCACAAGCACAGTGTCAGGGATCGCGCATGCACTGTACTGGGGGTTGGGGGTGTAGCGATTAGGCACCAGCAATCCCTTGCTGAGACTAAGAGGGGATGGCTGTAAGCACAATGAAATTACCTGTTACCCGACGAAAACAAATTAACATAATTTTTATACAGAAGTTCACTCGTCCTTCATAACTATTTTAGGGTAAATTTCGAGATTGTTTTCAAAACGCTACTGTGGGACTCAGTACTATTGAAAGAAACCAATAAAAATAGGATAGAGGGTAAGTAAGATTTTAATTTTGGGAGGCGATCAGTAAACAGAAATTTCTTATGTTCGCTAATAAACTAACCTTTGTAAAACTTTGGATGCTTCAACATCAAAATATTCTTTTAAGTCACTAAATTCTGACAAAAATAATGACGTTTTTATCAAATAAAATCTGGCCTCTACAGCACAAAGTGCTCGCTGTATTTTGGATAATAATTTTCTCAACAAAACTAGTCCCTCTCAGGTCTGCAACTTAAACGAGCCTGTTAAGTGCACTAGCGCCCCTTAGTCTCTACTTACACTACCGGATGATGACTGACGAGATTTTCCGCTCCGAGTAACACATTTGCTTATCTCCTTCCGTTTCCAGAGACACACGGTGACCGAGACAGTTACTGCCAGCAGTGCTAGTCCCAGCATCCCTATCACAAGGCTGTTTGTAGAGGGTAGCATATCCTCTTGAATCGTTCTATCAGGCTGCAATTAGACACACAGAATGAACAGCAGCATTCAGAACTGTCTGACAAAATCTGTGAAGAGACTGGCAAGAATTATATTCTAATAATGGATACACTTGAGTAACCTAGTCTGTTTATAATTCCCGACCGTACAGATTTAAAATAAGTTAAACTTATTTCCAATAGAATGTCGGTGAATAATTACAGTTGTAAGAACATCAGAAAATATTTCATGTCAAATTTGTAGGTTGGCTTATTTACGTCTATACAAGATTTACTGTGGCTCTAACGGTTTATTAGTTATTGCTGCAACACCGAAAGCTAAGTATAGATTTAGCACGTCCACCAAATTGTTTATTTCATAAATATATGTCTTAAAACAATTTGGAAAAATTATGAAGACTTAAGGATCCAGCGGTAGGGTCACTCCACCTCATAAGATTGCAAGGACAAGGATGCTATGTATGACAGGAAATTAAAAATTACGGAAATGAAGTGACATGTAATATGTTAATACATAAGTAGGATTGGAGTTCTCACGGCTGTAAGAAGATGGCTGTCTTCTGGGTTGTAGCGCCACCATCATCAGGGCGATCGCTCTGATGAGGGAGTCACCAAGGACCTCTGAAACGTTAGTAAACTTCTACCAGACTACACGGAATTACAATTCAAAAGAGAGCCACCTTTATGTTAATACATAGTATAACGAAAATCTATCAACTGATTCGAACGTTATTAGAGGATACTTTCATATGGACATAATTACGTGAGGCCATATTTTTGTTTATAAAAAACAGGTAGAAAGTTACGATTAAAGGAAGCATCAAACATGACAACAATAGGATAAAAACAAAGACGAAAACTAAAACGTTTTTAATGTTTAGGATCATCCAGACAATTGCACTGGTAACAATATATAATTTGAAACACAGCAACTGGTAGATAAGTCAAAACGATTTGACACCAAACTTGCAGCGATTATAGACAAACATTTATTCGCAGAATCTGATACCACAAACATAATACAGCATGCGAATCTCGCAGTATGGCTTCTAGTAATGGCGTTTATAGTAACTGTGAGTTATGGACTGGCTGTTCAGTTTCCCTCTGCCACTCTTACACGTGCCGCACTTCTCCCACGCACGAAGAAGCTTTCAAATCCCAGGCTCTTTAGTCTTACCCCCGATCACAGATCGAGTGTTTGCTCTCCACTACAGCCTGCTTTGGAAACAAATGCGAAACCGAGAAGGTTAACACACAAAGTTGAAGCAGGCTTACAGATATTAATGGGAAGACTTAACCTAAAAGTTTCATGTCAAACGAGAATGAAGGCTGAAGTGAGTGAGACACATAGCACGCATGGGGAGATGAAAAATACATATAAAAGTTTGTCGGATAAAACTGTTAGGGGACACCAGTGGATCTCATGTTAGGCTGTGGGCCAGATTCATCTGGCACAGAATAAGATTCTTGTGAATCCATTTGGATTACACGAAAGATTGCGAATTATTTAATCAGCTGAGCGACTATCAGTTTCTAAAGAAGGACTCTATTCCATGGACTCGCAGTTAGATAGTTTAGGTTTATGAAGACTACAAAGTTGATAAAGAAGGAAGTAACAGAGTATAATTAAAATATTCCGATTCAGATTTTGTTAAAGTACAATTTAATTTAATAATCCTATAATTACGCATAATATATAATCATTTTCTAAAATTTACAATCTTTTGATTGTCCGTCTGTCACTGCACATCTCTTGAATTGTGAGGACGAATAACTGAACACAACAAAAATAAGTTCTTCGACACAAGATTCTAGAATTATAAATTTGTCTACTCAATGTAATAATTATTTTCAAAAATTAGATTTATATTCAGAAATATGAAGCCTCACATCATCCAAAGGGCGTGACGCAATAGTTTGTGACTAAAATATGTGCCTTTCATTGGGCGCATTGTAAAAAGCAATTTTTATTGATGGCCAAACTTTGATGTTTATGAACACATTTCTATTTTTATGAGTTCAGTTTATCGAGAATTATTGATGAACACCAACATATGGGTTAAAATGACAAATAGAGTTTAATGAATATTCAAAATAAAAATGTAAATACAGAATAAATTAAAATGTATTAACGAATTTATGTAGTAGGTCTTTGTCTTTGACTCTAAAAATTCACGTGAGAGCGATATATGCATATTGCTGACTGCGAATTGGCTGAGGTAGGTAGGAGTCGGTAGAAGATAATTTCAGGACACTAATGTGGCATTCCTCTCGTGGGAAACCACAGAAATTTCGGTCAGCACAATTGTATCGGGTCAAAATTCAAACCAGGGGCACCGCAGAGATAATATTTTCGCCCATGTTGTAGGGTTTGCTTACCATATGAATTGATTTGAACTACGTTTAAATAAATTTGTTATCTTTTAATTTAAATGTATAATTAGTATTAATGATCGTTAGTGTTAATTTAAACAAACTCTTGGCGAAGCACTGCCACTTTGAAAAGTGAGTTTATTGTTTATTTAGGCTATTTATGTTTTATTTAACGAAGCTTTCAGTAGATCAGACTAGCGTTAAATGATAGCATGATTCATGATTAATGAATAAGAATGTGGAAAGAAGCGATAATGGCCTAATTAAAGGTATTATCCCGGCATTTGATTGGAGTGGTTGATGAAAACCACGAAAAACCTCAGTTAATATAACCATTGTCCAGGCCGAGATTTGATCTCGGGACTTACTTAATACAAGAACAGTGCGTTAAACTTCATTTCTGAACACTAGTTTGATGATGGATACATTTCTTGACACGACATAGCAGTTCAAAAAAGATCATCAAATTAAAATGGGCAAATTTCCTACGTATGACTGCCAGTATCAAGAGCCATCTCTCCCGAATTGTTCTGCATGACACGGAGGGCTTCTCCGCTTAGCTTCCTTACCTGCTGCACTAGCGTCTGGTTACGGGCCGTGGAGTTGGCTCCACTCGGTGGTATCAGGATGCCGATGTGAATGGGCTTAGGCGTGGCAGCAACTGCAAAACGTATGTATGTGTCAGTTAGGTTGCAGCTACTTTCAGGGATGGCTTATGTTACACAAGTCCTGTTTTTTTATTTCGTAAACATCGCTAAGTGTTTAGATATTCTACGAGATTTTAAGTCTTGACGCCGGTGAGGATGACGGTTTGGTTTGCTATAAGTGTCGTTATATAAATATACTGTTCCCTCTTAACAGTTAGAATATTATACTCCTTGAACTAGAATTAGCTATGGAAAGTACGGCCATTTGTTAAATATGAGAGCTGTACTATCATAGTAAACCGAAATTTACTGATGATGACAAAGCGTCTCGTGTAATTGTACCAGCTTCTGTGTACTACAACTGTGTTTACTACATGTTAACCGACCCTTCCCACCTAAATCTAATGTTTAACATACGAACTTGATTATCTGAGTTACATGAAACAAAGAGGCCCTTTGTTGTACAGAACACTGGTCGCCATGTTTTATGAAGCAGTGAGGGTAAGTTTGGTAATGAACGCTGCTCAGTATCTGTAGAGTGTAAAGTAGGGATCTTTCGTATTCCACGTTAGTGCAATAATTATATCGGAGTCATGTCAGCTCAGTCTAAGTAAGAGGTTTACAAGTCAGGGGATATTAATTGTAAATGTCAGAGTGGGTAGTTTCATGAAGATTCACTAGTGACAGGCGGAGGTGAAATGTTTGTGAATGAGCATAACACAACATTAATAAGGGTTTAAGTGCAAGAAATAAGAAACTTTCAAGTTATCTCGCACGTAAAGAGCGTTAATGTATTGGATCGCTATAGAGTGCACTGCAATGTCAGTTGTTGATTCTTTTGAAGATTTCTGATTTTAGTAATAAAATAAACGTTTAATAAATAAATAAAATAAATTGAAAGTAAGTATATTAACCATGTTCTCTTCTCGTTTTGATCGATAACTGGACTTCATTTGTGGCAAATGATTTATTTACAAGGTTGCTGAAAGGCGTAATGTATGTTAAAATTTTGAAAACGTTAGTGACTACATTCGGACTTATTAAACAGTTCTCTATAAGTACTTCAACATAAAATAAACCACCACATATCTTGAAATTAAATTTTTAGGTAGTCGATGAAATCCAAGCACACAACATTGCATATTTTCACTGCTTTCCATTTCAGATCTCGATAGAGTACGCGTAAGCTAAAGCAAGCAACGGTTTCCTGGAATCGGGGCCTGTGGCAATTAATTCTTACCCCCGCCAGCCTTAACGAGGACTGTTAATACGTAGTCACTGCCCCTTTCAACGACAAATAAAACAAGGCAGTTTTTCTTACATAGGATTGAATAGAAATGTTGTCATTGAATTTTATGTTTATCTTACGTGCAGGGGAAGCTGCCAAGGCGGCACAGCTCCAGAAAAGATAACTTACGTAATCCTAGTGATCAATTCACGTACGCATACTCCTTGTTTTATAGACGTGATGAAATTTCCCGTTAAAATATTCTGTAAATTAATGTACCTTTCATGGTACTCGACATTAAATATGTCTAAAATTAAAACAAAAAATAGAGAAACAAAGAAAGATAACGAAACTGCAAAAATATGTGACTTCATCTACCTGTTTTATTATTTATAGGTGTTGCCCTTCATATTGATCATTTTATGCATTAAACATTTTCCTTACAACGCCTCAGAGGTGGACATAGACCGCTTATTGCACTTTATAAGACCGGTTATTATCGCCTATCAAGCATAACAGAAGGACCGAAACAAAGAAGTTAAGCTAACTGCTAAGGTCGCCCTGATGATAGAGGTAGTAAAGACCTGTGAAACGCTTTTAAACTTTTACCAGACTACACGAAACTACAATCCAGTAGACAGCTATTTTCGTACTCACCTCCATCAAAAAGGAGGTCTGTACGTGCTCCCGAGGGTTACATGGAGACAGAACACATTAAATTGTACTCTTAAGAGCACAGGCCCTACATCTCAAAACAGTGCTATGTTAAGCTGAATTTTTCCCGGATAACTATCGTTAAATTCGTCTATTAGTCTGCCTATTGGTCCATCCATCACATCCACGCAAAAGATCACTCTCAGTGCGTTCTCATAACCCTAAAAAGGCCCACAAGCAATCACTCAAAGAAAAACAAATACTTCATATTGATTCTGGTTCCAGACATTTAGAAACCTTGTAGGTTGGTTCAAAGGAGTATAAAACCAATATCGAAAAGTGAAGAACGGAAACAAACGCTCGTGGCATAACCATTATTAAATGTAATGCGACTAGCAATTTTTAATAACTGCAATTTCATCGCGAAGTCAGAAAATGCGGTTTAGAAATTACAGATGCCCGTGCGCTCGTATTTTATCAAGTCCGAGTATTCCAAATGCTGAGCACTTTGTAGTACTATCACAGGGTGGAATTCATACTGCAAATTAATTTCTGAAGAATACCCGGGTGCAATCTTCGTTCACTTGAGTTAGGTTTCTAAATAAAATAACGGTTTGTGTTCGTTTACACAAGCATACGTCACCACAGATCATCAGGAATCACAAACTCACTTTAAGGTGGTTACGCCGAGAACTTTTATCTTGATTTTGTCATGATGTGTTTTTAACCGCTGCTTATAACTGCGTAATTAATGAATGAATTGCGATTGGTACTGGAAGTCAACAATAGAAATTATTAGGAACTGCAGATTTAGTTTTTGCACACTTTATACAGTTCATAATAGCACATAAACGGTTTTTACACATAAAAGCAGTCGATGTTTGTAATACGGTATATTTTAGCCTACTGAAACACTCGTAGTTACTAAAATCCTTGTAAATATCGCTCTGTGAGATTAAATTGAAGAGGTTTAAAGTGCGTAGGCCTGTAGGTTAATTGGAAGAGGTAGAAGGAGTAGGGACATTGACGTAAGTTTCTCCTCGTTCTCTGTCAACAGCTGTCATATATCAGTTTGAGGGATTTGAAAGTTAATTTATTTATCAGTTTTCTGTGTCTTTCTTTGGGACTGTCTCTGTAAATGAAGTAATCGGATATAAGCAGGGATGCGACGCAAGATTGAAAACACCGTTTGCACACAAACGAGTCAAATAAAGTCAAATCTGGGCATGCCTGTAGGCTAAAAAGAAATGAAGAGTTTCGTACTCTACAGAAAACTCCATTCGTAATTTGTTTAGCAATAACAAATTTGTTATAGATTGAAGTCATATCTTTATAACGAGCTTAGGAGTACTTAAATTTTCTGATGTATAACATGGCAGATATAGGATAGATCTACATAAGTCTTCTTGCCACTAATTTCCCGGTGGGACTATGTTTATTTTATTTAGTGTTCTGTCTGACGACAGGTCCATATGAACAGGATCCTTCCATCCTTTTCTCGGACTGGGACCTGTTCTTATACGTTCTTGGCAGATAATCCAGAAGTGGTTTGCCATTGCCTTCTTCTGTGTGTGAATGGAGTAATTGTTGGGATGCCACGGAGAAACCGGGGAAGCCCCCGGAGGAAAACTCCGTGTTGCCTAGACCACGGCCTTGCCCAACACAAGTTATAAATTCGGGCACCGCCGGGAATCGAACCCGAGACCCCAGGATTACAAGGCCAGCGTTCTAACCACTAGACCACCGTGGACCTGGGACTATGTACTAACATTAATAAAATCCTCTCGGTCTACCAGCCGTGTCAAATGGTTAAAACTTGCCGACGCCGTGAAAGTTTTAGATCACACAATGTACTAATACGTCGTACCCTAAATCACTGGGCGAATAAATTTTCCTTCTTTCTGTCTAATAGAGCGACTTTCACTTCTGATCTGAATTGTGATGTGTGTTGCTTATTCGGCATCATTCTGATTTAGCATAATTCTGTTACGACGATAAATATGCTTGTAATTACCTGTTGCAGTATTTATAGCCTGTGGTTTATTTAAAAATTTAATTCAGTAGTGATGCTAATTGCATAAATTTTGCCACATCGCCATGCCGGTCATAATAGGCCTGCGTATTAAAACTGATTTAAGCCATTTTACTGGTGCTGGAATCTGATACTAGCATTTGACGGCACTGAAATGTATTATAATTTGGAAATGTTATTTGACGTATCGTTGAAGGGGTGCTACATGAGAAAAATAAGGCACGAGCCGCCAATGGATAACTTTAGAAAACAAAGTGCAAGTGCACTCACATGATGCATAACACTCCACCAGGTGCACTGTAGTCGCAGTAGCAATAATGGCGACGAAGATGAGTACATAAAGCCAATTGTGTTCTGTGATTTAATAAAAGTAAAACGGGGACGGAAGTTCAGAAACACTTGCAAACTAAGTGTATAACAAACCCACCTTCTGGGTCTTCATTTCTACAGGATACAAACAGTTTACAGTCAGATTGTGTGTGTTCAGGACCAATATGAAAGCAGGCAGCGGCCAAAGTCCAGCAAGCTTAGTGCGTGGATTACGAGTGAAACTGCTAAAGGTACTGGCACTGTGAGACAATTTAGCGTAGAATGAGTAATGTAGGAGTAAATATCTATGCAATAAGTTGTGCAAATTAGTTTTGTAAGCCGATTTCAATCTTTTAACACGATACAAAATTTAGCACCTGAGATTGGTAGTAACATTTAGAGATGTCTATTTCAAAACATGTTTGAACGCGGACTTTCCTGGGGGCTGCATTATACCACTGTACGTCGCAATGTAGTCTTTTCTAAAAGTTTGACAGCCCAAAATCGCAAATACCTAATTAAGTTTTAGATTCCACTAAAATAAAAAAAACAGTGTTGTTCTTTTCGCCCATTTACCTTGTTCATTAATTAATTAGATGTTTGGTGCTGTATACTCGTATAGTCTACTTTATATTTGAGAATGTTAATTTATTTTGTTAGAGTTTCAGGTCTCAACCATTATTTTTCTTGCATGCACATTACCTTCGTTTTAATTTCTGAGGATCCCATGTCAACACGCAAACAAAAAAACGTTTGATTTAACTTTAACAGCTCTCATTCATTACTGTTTCGAGCTTCAGTTACAATTTTATGTGCAGGATAAGGTAACAGATTGAAGAGTGTAATTTGACCTTTTGGGGGTGAATTGCGTCGAATGTTGAATTAAGGACGATTTTTTCCCTTTCAATGTCAATTACAATGTTTGTCGAAGCGTTGGAAAATTTTTAACATTCGACGTTGCTCATGCCGAAAGTCGTAGTTATATATTGAACTGAGGCCGCAAATATCTAAGGACAAGCTCGGAAAGTGTATTCCGTACCTGAATAACACATAATATTCCCACGCTTTCTTTGCAACTCGCATCTAGACGTAATAAATCGGCCTTGTTTAATAGTTCCCACTTTGGCCAATAGATCGCAGCACCCATTTGTCTACCTCACTATTTTCGTCATCCGTCATTTTGTTAGGATTTTCAAAGGCACGATTTTGAGGTCGTGCAGAATAGTACCACGCTCACAAAAATTTAATCCAAATCTGTCCAGTGGTTCTCGTGTTGAATCGACGGACGGACGGACAGACACGACCAGCCCATAATATGTTCTGGGTATGCACTTTATGCAAAGAACGCATAGAATATTAAATATTGTAGTTCCAAAACTCGCTCAGTCCCCTATTTCGTTCGGCAGGTAAATTTTGCTTTGAAATTATAGTTTCCCAAATTTCTGGAAATGGACTAAGCTACTTTTCGGGACCACACTCGTCGATTTAATTTACACAAGTGTGCACTATGCTGTACAAAATTGCCCTGAACTTAGGTGGTTCCGTGTATGGAAAGTTCATAACGGCAGGCTGTCGATAAAATTACTGTTTTGGTTTCATGTAATAAAAAATGGCGAAACTAAGAGGGCGATTGTCAAATCGACAAAAATCAAGTTTCTGGCGTGATGCTTGATAATGATGATGGTTATGTATATAGACATGTAGAAGATGATAATGATGCGACGGAGATGGGACTGGTAACGATGATGAATAATATGCTGGCGACAATGAAAATTGAGATGATGAACGGAAGACGACGATCCGTTATTTTCGATCGTTTAGACATGTCAGGGACATCTGAAAATTATATCGCACAGTGCATAGCCTAAATCCCTAAAGGTAGTATTAAACAGGAAATTAGGTGGGAGGGTATGGATTTAATTCATCTGGTTCTGATTCTGGATAAGAATCCGTGTCTGGCTCTTGTGAACGTGGTAATGAATCATCGTTTTCCATGAAAGAAGGGAATTTGTCGTGATTAGTTTGTCCGCCTCTCCGCGTACATTTATTTGGTTGGTTGATTGGTGATTGATACCTACCTGTCATCCTGTTGGGACACTTGAGATCCTTCGTGGGCTCTGAGCCGTCGTGCGGACACACGCATGTGTAGTTTTTGTTCGGTAGTTTATGACATGCTGCTTCTTGCCCACAGAGACCCGGCCGACAGTCTTCAGCTGAAATAAGTAACAGTGGCATAATGAACACATGTCTCTGATATGTTTCATGCTGTGATAATAGTGTATGACCGGACAGAGCTATAAATAAATAATAAATTAAGAAATCAGCCGATTAACAAATAAGTAGATTAAATGCTGTGTGAATGTGAATGAATGATTGATTGAATGTAGGTGATAAGGTAATTGGACAAGATAATGACAAGTTCTTAAAGGTAGGACTATTTAATTTATTTCGCGCTTTTAATCTAGATTGAAGTTTTAATGAAGTTGAATTCTAACATCCAAAAGATAATATTACATTCGAAAAAAAGTTTTCCTTAAATAAATATTCAAGAAATTGTGTTTCGCTCTTTTGAACATGATAAATATAGAAAATGCCAATGTTTATGTGCAGCCACTAAACAGATAAAGGCAGAAGGGACAGTGAATTAAACTAAATAGAGATTGTTCATACTGAGATTCGTTAGTGAAGAATGTAAGAAGAAAGCAGGAAACAATCTGCCGAAATACAAATTTTAAGAAGTTTTTCGAAAATGTATGTGTTATATTTGATTATCAGTGACTGGGAAAGACAGGGCATGTATGTTTTTGTTATAAGAGACAAAAGTAAACTTAACACTTAAACAGAACGTCAGAAGGATTATCGAAATTCATTTTAAAACTAGAAAACGTTGGCCTGTCGCGGGCCACGATCTACACAAGATTTTCTTGCATGCCCTTGATTCGCGCAATTTTGCGTTACGCATGGCGTGAAGTTTGTATATAATCTGTGACAACGTATAGAACAATACTTTAAAAACAAAACATTCAAAGACCCAATTAATATTTAATGAATAAATCCAAACGGAATTTCCCACATTAGTATAATCTGTCCATTTTAAGTGTATAAATATAATTGTGATATAAAAATGTGTTCGTTTTTACAAATAATGTATCGCTGTTTAGTCTTTGTGTCGCGCTCCACTGTTTGAAATTTCACCATCAATATTACGACGGCCTCTTCATTACGAGCACGCGTCTGTTATGTGATCGCAGCATCGATTTGTTGTAGTGTGATATTAATTATATAATATTCTTAGAATTTATTGGCGTATGGGGTAAAGCCATTGCCACCCCACCCCACGCCAGACCAGTAATTGTGTTAATATTTCAAGGCTGTTATAAAATATGCTTCAGCAGACTGACAGTGTTGTGTTTGCTGGGTGTAAGATCCGAATATTCTCCTCAACATATTTTAATTAAACACATCCAGTCTGTGATTTTGTCTTCTGGTAACAAACGACGTTCCAGCGTTCTCATATTCTACGTGTATACTTACCACTTAACACATTTTATTTTCTGTCATGTCCCCAATATTTTCTTCGGTTTTATTTGTTTCTTTAACTAGTTTGTTTTACGTTGCCAGCCGTATAATTCTATTCAAATTAGCCCTTTAGAGCCCGGTGGTAACTGAACGTACCACGCATTTTGTATTTATATAGGTATTATTTCATTAAACAGCGTTAATCATCTGATATTTGTAATGGAAAAATGTTTTGTTTTCTTTGAGGTACGGTCTGAATTTTTAAACAATATTTAAATCACATTTGGTTTCACAGAGTTGAATATGCAGGCTTTAAGCAGACAAGGTTTAGTACCCACCAAAACGTAAACAGTTTTGTTTTGTGGCATATTGCATTTAAATTGCTTTCTAAAATTATATGCTCGAAACTTCATGAAGTATTAACTGTTATTATTATCTTCTGTAGGATCAGTCGTATGGTTATTGTTTGGAGACCACAATTCAGATTTTACTTAGGCTGCAAAACGAATCAGCTTTCCATAGTCCGTTGTAAACCTTGGTATTCCAAGTCGAATATTGAACAGTCACAGTTTTTTGACTTGCAGTACGCTCTCTGTGACTGCATTACACTAACGAATATTACAGATTTGTCCAGTATTACAATGCTCACGCAATTACTGTGAATAATAACAAAACAGAGGCCTGATTCAGGTTCCTAAAACCCCTGAAATGTAACTGAATCTATTGTATGTGATCACATGCACCGAATGCATTAATTAAGAGGAGTTGAGGCTGGGCATATTACAATCAGATCTGGTTATACAGAGGTCAAAATGACAGTTCGCACCTGGATTGCTATTATCGTTTGCCTCAAAGGCTTTAAACGTTCTAGTGGAAACCTTTTTCAGTAACACCAGACTTTAGCAAATTATGTACAGTACTTCACTATATGTGCATATTTCACGAATAGGTATTAAATAGAATTGCTACTATCAAATTAAAAAAGGAATTTATGAATGAATACTGGTTTTATTTTTAAAGACGAATATTCAGTGGAATGGTTTAACATTTAAATTAATCTAATAATTTGTATTTAAAATACATATTCAGTATCGATTGATTTGTTTTGTAGTTCAAGGTTCCAGACTCGTACTGAATGTGTACGCGATTTCAGAAAAGCGGAAGAATAAATTTAAATTGTTTACATATTCTTGATAAAGGTAAGGTGTTCCCTGTGCTTACATACCACGCCATGAAGACGTATAATGAAAACTAGACTGAAGCTCGACTACAATCTCAGCTCCAGATCCATTTTAATAATATCATTTCGTTAACGCTTACCCTCGGCTTCCGGCTACAGTTCATTGTGTATTTCTAATCTCTCCCATGCATGCTACATGACATTCCCATTTCTGTCTCTTTAATTTTATTACCTTATTCAGTTGGTACTATCGCGGGAGTTTCAAGCACTGTATTGAGAGCCAAAATACTCAAAGATATTTTAAGAACATTCCGTACTTTGTTATCATGTTTTCATTCATAGGATTGTTTTCCCATAAAATTATGAATAAATAGTTTTTCTCTTTTAAAAATAAAAATGAGTTTAACAAAGTATTCCAAGCTCGAGGTGTAGCAAGGAACTAATTATTGCATGGCTTCAGCGAGTACGGTTTTAAAATAATTGTACTTGTCAAGGTCCTCTTTCCTTATTTAACTGGTGATCCTTATTCAGAGTGCAACTACGTACGTAAGAACGTCACTGATTTGAACTCTTTACGGCGTTCGTCCGTCTGTCCGTCCCACACGCCTCCAAATTGAAGTCTTTCTTTGTGAATTCTTAGAGAAGCAGATGGATGCGATCAGCATGGGACAACTGCTGTTTTCTATAACCAATTTACCAGCACGAAGTCTTGCTTCTGTGTAGTTCTCTTCAATTTCTTTCCTGCTTTTATCTTTCTTCGGTAAACAAAGGAAAAAATAGGGTGAAAGAGCATCAGAAATATTGTAGAAATGTTCTTATTTGTGTTACGTTTAAATTTATTCATTTTTCTAGGTCATACTGACATGTAAGGAACACCGAACTCCAGGACGAAGTCATGATGTAAGACAGATTTTCTATTCTTGGAAAATATGGCACAGTTAACATATTTGGGAATAAGATTAACTAACTAACTAAATGGCTTACCGAACCCGAAGGTTCATCACCGAATTAACCAAAGCCCTCCACCGGACCCTGCCCTGGGCCAACAAAATCCAGTCTCCTTCAACTCCTATCTCCCATAGATCCCGCCTGACATTATCCTTTCATCTACGTTTAGGTCTCCCCAGCTGTCTCTTCCCCTTAGGCTTCCTAACCAATGCCCGGTGCACACCTCTTGTCCCATCCATGCGCGCTACATGTCCCGCCCATCTCATTCTTCTCGACTTAATCACCCTGACAATATTGGGGGAGGAATACAGATTTTTAAGCTCATCATTATGCAGTTTTGGGAATAAGATTAGCAAATTAAAATTTTGTTAACAAAGAAATATAGAGCAGATTGAATTCGCTGAATGCTTGCTACCATTGAGTCTCCGTTTGTTGTTAGTCTCCCGCCACAAGACGCGTTGTTTGTGCGGGTATGACATTTGATCTTTCTCTGTAAGGGCATTTGAGAACGAAGTACTGTGGAGATATTTTGACCTAAGAGAGGAGAAGTAACAAGATATTGGAAAAAAGAAAACTGTAGAGTGAGGAGCTTAATGGTTTGTACACTTCAACAAATGTTATTAGGGTGATGAACTGAAGGAGGGTGAGAGGTCCTTCTCACATTGGGGAAATGAGAGATTTGTTGGAAAGTAAGAACGAAAAAGACCACTTACGAGATACAGGAGTTGATTTTTGAGATAGTATTAAAATGGATCCTAAATAATGTTTTAGGTTGAGGAGTGAATTTAAAAGGCTTATGGTAGCTGGCTCTTGGAAAATACGGTAATGAACTTTCCGATTATTTAAAAACACGGGAAATTTGTTGAACATCGTAGTGATTTTCAGCTTGTAAAGAAAGACACTGCTTCATAGACATAAAAAGAGCTTGTTATGTAAAATGAACCTTCATTGTTTAAATAGAATTATCGGCAGTAATTTTTAATATAAATTTTGAACGAGTCATGAGGATTATGCACGGAAGTCAACAGACGATCACTGGTATTTGCCCTTGTTTACTCTCCCCGTTTTAATACAGTAATATAATTATAGGATTTGTTTCTTAAAATTAACAGATTTAGTAAGTCGAATTATCGGAAATGTGGTAGAAAGAAAGGAAGTCCATAAATGGGAAACAAACAGTCAAATTGTTTGTAACGAATAATGCCAATACTTCCTTCTGCATAATTAATGGATGGAGATCTTATTAAAACAGTAATAACATTTACGATATGAAGTGTATGTCCACGAGTCATCGGATTCACCTGTCATATCATTATCCTGTATCTCAAATAATAAATCATACAGCATCCGAAATCTCCACTGGACTTTATTTATATAATGGTTTAAGACAGAGCCCTGTATATGCCACTACTAAATCTGAACAAATAAGAATAGCAGTAATCTATTGCTGAGGCCTATTACTAGAGATGCAAGGAATTCACATTGCTTCTAAATGCATCGAAGCAGCTCCTTTGCCATGTAAAATAAATAGCGCAGTTATTTGTGTTGAACTTATACTGCAGTATG